AAAAAAATATACCAAATGAAAGGTAATGATATTATGCATCTATATAAAAAAGAATTATATTGATATGTTTATTTCTGAAAAAGTTCGAGCATTATTAAGTAAAAAAAATTGAAAAAATTTCGAAAATTAGCGATTTTTAAAATTGTAATTTTTTTGGAGGTTTCCCCCTTTTACGGGGAACGAGGGAATTTTTTTCAATTTTTAAGGGTAATGTCTTCGACTAGATACGATTTGTGATCTTTTGACGTATCATTGAAAGAAATCGGTTCGGTGAGAGCTGAGAAAAAGTGGTAACAGACACAAAAAAAAAAAAAAAACACATCTTAGTAAAACCAATACCTTCTCAGCTTCGCATCGAAGCTAAAAATAATAATATTGATCCATACATTTTTCCAAAAGTTATATAAAATATAAATTAAATAATATAACATATAAAATCGAAATTTTTTTCACGGAAATCGGTTAGATGAGAGTTGTAAAAAAGTGTTAACAAATACCAAAAATATCAAATTAATAATTTCACAGCTTCGCATCAAGCCTAAAATAAATCCCCTTGGATTCATCCCCTTTTCACCTCTTTATCAATACGTCAATCTAAGTTCACTTATTTCTTATTAATATTTTCAAATAAATTTTTGTACAACAAGTTATTAAAATTGTTTGAGTTTTCCAATTTGTATACAAAAATGGTAATTTTTTCTTTAACTTAAATGTCAGTTTCATCACAAAGACAAGTCTAAAGGTCAAATTCCTTCTTTCAAATTAAAGTTCATTTTAAAAAGTTATGGCAGTTTTAAGAAAAAAAAAATTAATGAGGGTTGAACATTTTTAAAATTGTAATTTGTTGAGTGATATCCTTCATTTACTGGAATTTTTTTTAATTTTTTAGGCTAATGTCTTTTTCTAGATATAATTTGTGAGTGATAAATGTCCCATTAATGCCCCCTCTCATTTACAAAAAAATTAAAATATATAAGATTTAAGTGTTAATTATAAATATTTTCTTTTAGCTTCGATGCGAAGCTGAGAAGGTATTGGTTTTACTATGATGTGTTTTTTTTTGTGTCTGTTACCACTTTTTCTCAGCTCTCACCGAACCGATTTCTTTCAATGATACGTCAAAAGATCACAAATCGTATCTAGTCGAAGACATTACCCT